AATGCATAAACTATCAGTTTTGGCCCGTTTTAGTACATAAACTTTCAATTTTTTTAAAACTTAACGTTAAATTTTGAACGAGATACTGGAATTAAACAAAAACTAAAGTTTTTAACGGCGGAGTACTAAAATGAAACAAAAACTAAATTTTAAGTATGGTCTTGAAAAAATTAAAAGTTTATGTATTAAAACGAACCAAATTTGATAATTTAGGTACTAAACATGTGATTTACCCTGATTTTTATGTAATTATATGTATGTTATTTTGTCTTTTTTTAACAGTTTAAAGTAATTATAAGGTAGTATACGTTTAAAACTCCTATAATTAATTGACAATGCATAAACACCCTATAGACATAGCTATTCGGACCCAAGATCTTTAGGAAGAATAACATTCTCTTTTTTCCACTAAAGTCACTTAATGATTTTCTAAAAATTTTGATTTTTGGAAATGTAAATGATGTTATGTCAATATTAATTTTTTTTAATAATTTCTGATAATTTAATCGAATCAAAATTTCATGTATATATTTGTACAAAATCAAAATTCATGAATGAAAATATAATATTATACACTTAATGAAATTTATGTGTAGTTTTGATAATTATCCTAAATTTTTATATCGAGTGTCCACATATGAACCAAATACATAGCTAAACCAAAGTTTCCACAATAGCTTTATATACTCGTTTGAACTTTAATAAGAATGCAAAAGGATGAATTTTTTGGGTAAACTTCACATTTAATATCCAAACTATCAGTTTTGGTCCGTTTTAGTACCTAAACTTTTAATTTTTTCAAAACAATGCCTAATATTTAGTTTTTATTTTATTTTAGTACCCACTGTTAAAAATAATGCATTCAGTACCTAAACTATCAATTTTGATCCATTTTAGTACCTAAACTTTCAATATTTTCAAAACTTGACGTTAAATTTTGAACGGTAGGCTAAAATGAAACAAAAACTACAAATTTTAACGATGAGATACAAAAATAAAAGAAAACTAAACTTTGGGTATGATTTTGAAAAAAATTGAAAGTTAAAATACTAAAATAGACAAAAAAATGATAGTTTAAGTACTAAACACGTATTTTATCCTAATTTTTTTATACATTTAGATATTAAAATCCATTAAACAAGAACTCTTCAAATTTTTGATGGGTTCATTTGTAATTCTTTGTAGGTCCATGTTAAATTATTCACATGGTTGTGTGAATCATCTCTAACTAAAAAGATGCTCCCGTACTCTTTTCACAATAGATAGGTAGCAAAACAACATTTAGGAATTGAACACATGATTTTATATTAAAAAATAAATTTCTAAAATCTTAATAAATGATAAATTTATAAAAAGTATAAAGGGATATAGGTTGATATTATCAATAAAGTCACTTTTGGTACTTTTTACTACATAAACTTTTAATTTTTTCAAAATTATACTTAAAGTTTAGTTTTTGTTTCATTTTAGTACCCGTCGTTAACTTTTTATTTCATTTTAGTACATCACTGTTAACTTTTTGTTTCGTTTTAGTACCTAATTTTTTAACAGCGGGGGTACTAAAATGAAACAAAAAGTAAACTTTAGGTATGATTTTGAAAATATTAAAGGTTCATGTATTAAAATATACCAAAAGTGAAACTTTAGGTACTAAATGTATAGTTTATCCTAAAAGTATAAGAAAATATTTAAAATATATAGTAAGTTAGGATTTTCATGAAGGCAAATGCCCTCCGTCCATTCCTCACTCATTCCACCCTTAACAATATTAAAAGGGGTATATCACCTAATGCTTAGTTTTCATTTCATTTTAATATATCGTTGAGAACTTAATACGTTTAGTACTTAAACTATTAGTTTTGGTTTATTTTAGTATCTAAACTTTCAAAATTTTCAAAACTTAACGTTATATTTTGAACAAGGGTACTAAAATAAAACAAAAACAAATGTTTTTAACGGAGAGGTACTAAAATGAAATAAAAACTACACTTTAGTTATGATTTTGAAAGAATTGAAAGTTTTAGTACTAAAACATATTAAAATTGATAGTTTAAATACAAATACTAGACGTGTAATTATCCTATTAAAAGTTCGATAGATTACAATCTTCTTAAGAGGAGTAGGAGTTGAATAAAATTTTCCTTTTGTCATGTGGAATTGCAATTGGAGGTTAGAAAGCGTTGTCTTATTTCCACGTGTTCCATTCAAAAGCATTAATTCATGTTTAATTTTTTGTAAATATAATGTAATATATATTAAAAGATAATTTTAAATCATTTAATATTGAATGCTCACATTTCTGATTTTATTAATGTTCGGACTCGAGACCTCAAGAAAATAACGATTCTTTCATCACCATGTTATCTGGTTCATGCAAAAATATCTTCCTATAATTACAATAATGATATAATTTAGATAATTTTATCTTGAATTAAAAAAATATATTTTTTCTACTTCAAACTTGTCTCAAATTGACATTTTCAAGTTTTTTTTCTTTGCTCAATTAATCTATGTAATTTTATATTAAAAACTCTAAATAAATAATTATTTAAAGAAATAAGATCCTGAAATTATTTGAAAGAATAATCTTCAAATCGTCCACATCGGACGACCTTGCGGTTTACAAACTGCGTATTAAATCCTTGCACCCTCCAACACGCAAGATATATCCAACGTGGCGTACTTTCTAGGTAAACCAATAAAACAATTGAATAAAATGACCTCGCACATTACAAAAATAGCTTTTATATTCTAAAATATCGCGAGATTTATGGGGATCTCGCTGCCTGCAAAACGTGAGGTTCTCCCGAATTCCGTATAGCAGCCTAATTCGAAACATATAAATTAAATGAATATAATAAATGAATATAATAATAATTAATAATATAAGTTGCAATATTATACCTCTAAGCATATAAATTATGAAATCACTCATATTTATAAGTTAGAAATAACACTTCAATATGTCTATTAAACAATTTTTTTCTTATTCCTTCACAAAACCATGATTTCTAACCATTTTAACGTCATTTTTATCCCACTTAAAATGTCTTATATGTGATGATATTATAGTCACCTTAAAGATAAATTGCAACACTACGTGTTTATAATTTATTTTAAATTCAGTTTCCACCCAGAAATAGTATCCGAACAAGGATATGGACACTAAAGGGAGGGTAGAGAATTTATTGTCCTTGCGCTTTGAAGTCCGTGAGGTCCCTCATAAATCTCACGATATTTTGGATCATAAAAGCTACATCGCGCTTCGTAATACGCGATGATATTTTATCCAATTATTTTATTGGCTTATCTAGAAAGTGCACCCACATCGGATGTATCTATCGTGTTGGAGGGTACCAGGATTTAACACGCTGTTTACAGGCTGTGAGGTCGTCCGATGTGGACAAATTGAGGGTTATTCTTCCAAATAATTTCTGGATGGTCATATTTCTTTAAATAATTATTTATTTGGGGGTTTTAAATATAAAATTTGCTTTTAATCTACTCTTAATTACGAAGAGGAAATGAAAGTATTAAAGATTCGCATGCTTTTTCTGCATTTTCCTTCTGTTTTTCATCCATTATTAATTAAGATTGTGGATTGACTATATGTTCTGAAATTACCAAATAATTACTAGGGTAAACTACGTATTTAATACCTAAACTATCAATTTTGATCTGTTTTAATATCTAAAATTTATTTTCTTTTTCAAAGTTATACTTAACGTCTAGTTTTCATTTCATTTTAGTACCCCGTCGTTAAAAACTTAATCTAAACTATCAATTTTGATCTATTTTAATACCTAAACTTCTGATTTTTTCAAAACTTAACGTTAAATTTTGAACTTGGTACTAAAATGAAATATAAACTAAACTTTAAGTAAGTTTTTGAAAAATTAAAAATTCAGGTACTTAAACAGATCAAAACTGATAGTTTAGGTACTAAATGCATAATTTACCCTGATTATTATTATCAAGTCCGGATATATATTTGTAAGTTTAATGGAATTTTTGACTTTTGGGTTTTTTTTTAAAAAAATGTTAACATTTTGTAGTATGTATCTTTTTTATTAAATTAAATAATCTGTTAGGAAAAAATTAAAGATTTAAATTAACGTAAGTTATATTTTATTAATACTAAAATAAATATTTTTCTGTAGATAAAATATCTAAAAATCAAAAGAGGAGGGAAAAAGTAAAGACTGAAACGACTTTTTTGAAAACATTTGAGGTTCAAAAGTAGTATTAGACCAATTGTATTTTCCTTTTTGGAAAATAACACGTGTACCATACGAAGAAACGTGGAAAGGGAAGTGATACGATAAAATAAAGGTCAATACGACGACCAACCTTCTTTGACGCATCACTTTCAGCAGCTCAATAGTCAATAGTCATTAGGCCTAATAAAAAAAAGTGTACAAATAATATTTAAAATTAATTTTTGGTGTTCACATATTTTTTTTTTTGTTAAAAATAGATGTATAATATTTTATCTGATATATTTTTAGGTGTATGATTAAAAAACCAGTTTTATTTTAGTAACTAAACTTTCAATTATTTTAAAATCATACTTAAAGTTTAGTTTTTATTTCATTTTAGTATCCGTTAAAAACTTAACGTTGAGTCTGGAGAAAATTAAAAGTTTAGGTACTAAAACGGACAAAAACTGATAGTTTAGGTACTACACACGTTAAGTTTTTAATGGTGCGATACTGAAATGAAACAAAAACTAAACTTTAGGTATAATTTTTAAAAAAATATAAGTTTAAGTATTAAAACGGATTAAAATTGATAGTTTAGATACTAAATAGGTAATTTACCCTATATATATATTTTTTGAAAAAGCTCAACAAATTAGGATTCCAAGTGGGACTGTGCATAGAAAGAAGGCTCTTTCAACCTCATTTTCCCCTTTAATTTCCCTCAGAAACACCTTTATATATATATATATATATATATATATATATTGTCTGGAGAATGATCCTCATCGTTTCTTTAGCTTCAGACTTCAATAAATCTTCTCTTCTCTCGCCTGTTTTTGTTTCATCAGTTCAATCTCAGTGATGGAATCATCAGCTTGGGTGGATACTATTAATCTGGACCTCAACCTCAACCCTTTCCATCAACCAGACAAAGCCATGGTGAGTTCAGATGATCCATTTTTCTGTCGAGTACGAATAATTCTTTCATTTTCCTCACACGATCGCACATGAAATGATGAAACAGGATGGAGTTTTGGTGGAGGAACTGAACCGGGTCAGCGCCGAGAACAAGATGTTAACCGAGATGCTAGCCGTCCTGAGCCACCACTACAAGGATCTGCAGAACAAGTTCGTCGAACTGGTCACGGAAAATGAATCACCCGCGTCGAAGAAGAGGAAAGCCGGCCAGTGCGAAGACAGCAGCGGCGGCGATGAAGATGCGTTTAAAAAGCACAGGGAGTACGTTCATACCAAGATTTCAACTTCTTACGTCCGTACAAATCTTTCTGATCAGAGCCTGGTAGGGTTCTTGACCTAGTTTTTCCTTTCTTTGCCGGACTGTGTTTTGTGGGTACAAATCTGAGTATTTTTTGCGTTGTAGATCGTGAAAGATGGATACCAGTGGAGAAAATATGGTCAGAAGGTCACCAAAGATAACCCTTCTCCCCGAGCATACTTCAAATGCTCTTCTTCCCCAACTTGTCCGGTCAAGAAAAAGGTGAGTCCACTGCCACACTATTTACTAGACGGAATGTTAAAATTAGTCCCGACGTTCATTTGAATAATTATATTGGATGAAAACCATTAATTAACTAACAATTAACGTACGTCGTTAATGTGATATTTACATATTGTTAGGAAAATAAACCGATTACAAGTAATTTCCCTATAACCAGATTAGTGAGAATGTGAAATAAAAGCGGAAAAATAATACCCGAAAATTGATAACGGAGTTCAGCCAATTGTGCTTACGTCTCCGGGCTGCTGCAGATCTTTTACTAAGAGAGAAAATTTACAGGTGTTTACAAAACACTCACTACTCACAAGAAAGCTCTCTAGTATAGGAAGAAAGAAATGTTTTGGGATGATTTTGAAGCTAAATGGGTAAGGGTATTTATAGTAGAAACTTAGGGACTAATCTTTGAAAATACCCTAAAGTGCAATGACTAAAGTGAATTTACCCATTCCTATTTTCAACAAACATCTACCAAAATTTTACCAAACTTTGAAAAACATTTTTCAAAGAAACATTTACCAAACTTTGAAAAAAACATTTTCCAAAGTTGGTTGCCAAACTTTGAAACTTTTAACAATCTCCCACTTGAAGACTGATTTTAATATGTCTTCACACCTCGATCAATGCAGCAGCATGTCTGGTCTTGTTATTCTAGCATGCCAACTGAAGTTGAACACAACTTCAGTTTGTCCGTAGTCACCGTCTTTGTCAACATGTCTGCCGGATTTTGAGCTCCACTAATCTTTTCAAGTTTCAAAATCCCATCTTCCAGAAGAGACCGGATAAAATGATATCTCAATTGTATGTGCTTTGTCCTGGAATGAAAGACGGATTCTTTGCTAGATGGATAGCACTTTGACTGTCGCAATACAAGATATTGTTTTCTTGTTTCTTGCCTAACTCTTCCAAGAAACTTTGGAGCCAAACCATCTCCTTGCTGGCTTCCGTAACAGCGACATATTCTGCTTCAGTTGTGGAGAGAGCAACTATCTTCTGTAGTTGAGAAACCCAACTCACTGCAGTTCCTCCTAGAGTATAGACATACCCTGTAGTGCTCCTTCTGATGTCGACATTTCCGGCGAAGTCAGCATCTACATAGCCTGTCAGTATCATATCTCCACCTTTGAAACAAAGTGCTTTGTTTGTGGTACCCCGAAGATATCTGAGGATCCATTTGACTGCTTCCCAGTGTACCTTGCCCGGATTATTCATGTACCTGCTAACAGCTCCCACTGCATGAGCAATATCTGGTCTGGTACAAACCATGGCATACATCAGACTTCCAATTGCTGAGGCATACGGCACCTTCACCATGTGTGCACGTTCTTCCTCCGTCTTTGGTGATTGGTCTTTGGAGAGTCTGAAATGAACACCTAAAGGTGTACTTACTGGTTTAGCATCTTGCATGTTGAACCTGGAGAGTACTTTGTTGATGTACTCAGCCTGTGATAACATCAAAGTCCCCGACTTTGTGTCTCTCTTGATCCTCATCCCAAGAATCTGCTTTGCAGCGCCCAGATCCTTCATAGCAAACTGCTTCGACAATTTTTGCTTCAAGTGTATAATCTCTTGCATGTCTGAGCCTGCAACGAGCATGTCATCAACGTACAATAATAAAATAATGAAGCTGTTGTCGAACCTCTTGATGTAGCAACAATGATCTGCTTGGCATCTGATAAAACCACTGCTACTCATGAAGCTATCGAACTTCTTGTACCACTGTCTAGGAGCTTGTTTTAAACCATACAAGCTCTTCTTCAACCTGCATACCAGGTTTTTCTTGTCTGCCTCTATGAAGCCTTCTGGCTGCCTCATATAGATTTCTTCCTCCAAATCACCATGAAGGAAAGCTGTCTTTACATCTAACTGCTCAAGATGTAAATTCTCTGCAGCTACAATTTTCAACACCAGTCTGATTGTAGACAATTTTACGACTGGAGAGAAAATTTCATTGTAGTCAATACCTTCTTTTTGCTGAAAGCCTTTGACAACCAATCTTGCTTTGTAGCGTTTGCTCCCATCGTGCTCTTCTTTGATCCTGTAAATCCACTTGTTGTGGAGTGCTTTCTTGCCTGGTGGTAATTCAGCTAATTCCCATGTCTGATTTGACATAAGCGAGTCCATCTCATCTTTCATGGAAGACTCCCACTTGACTGAATCCTCCACTTGTATTGCTTCATCATAGCACTCTGGTTCACCATTGTCAGTCAGCAACAAGTAGTGTAAAGAAGGAGAATACCGTTGGGTTGGTTTAGGAATTCTGGAGGAGCGTCTTAGTTCTGGTGTGCCTGGTTCTTCTTGAACTGCTTCAGGATTGATCTGAACATCATTTCCAGAAATCTCCTCGAACTCAGCAAATTCCTTTGTTTCAGCTTCGGTATTACTTGATTCTGCGGTTGATCTATCTTTGTACATCACATTTTCATTGAAAATGACGTCTCTGCTTCTGATGATCTTCCGATTTTCATAGTCCCAAAACCGGTAACCGAACTCATCACCGCCATAACCAACAAAGGCACATTTGTTGGACTTAGCATCAAGCTTACTTCTTTCAGCAGAGTCTATGTGTACATAAGAAATACAACCAAACACTCTTAAGTGTGAAAGGTTTATTTCTTTCTTGCTCCAAACTTCCTCTGGTATTCTGCCATCCAAAGGAACTGAGGGCCCACGGTTGATCAAGTAAGCTGCAGTGTTGATTGCTTCAGCCCATAGAAATTTGGGCAAGCCGGCATGTATCCTCATACTTCTGGCACGTTCATTCAGAGTTCTGTTCATGCGCTCTGCTACACCATTATGTTGCGGTGTCTTGGGAACTGTTGTCTCCATCTTGATCCCATTGTTTGCACAAAAATCTCTGAATCTACTGTCTCTGTACTCTCCTCCATTGTCAGACCTCAACCGCTTGACTTTCAAACCAGTCTCATTTTCCACCATGGCCTTCCATTTTCTGAAGATATCGAAGACTTCTGATTTCTTCTTCAGAAAATAAACCCACACCTTCCTTGTTGAATCATCGATGAAGGTGACATAATATAGTGAGCCTGCAAGAGATGGAACTGGGGATGGTCCCCATACATCAGTATGAACCAATTCTAACCTTTCTGCCTTGGGTGTCTTGCCAATCTTTGCAAAACTGACTTTCTTTTGTTTGCCAAAGATGCAATCCTCGCATAGTCCGACATCTACATTTTTTAGATCCGGCAGCTTCCCTTTTGACAAAAGTGTCTTCATCCCTTTCTCGCTCATATGGCCAAGCCTTTGGTGCCATAGGTTTGATTTTCCATCAGCATCTGCTACTGCAATGATATTCTCTAAATTTGAGGTTACATAGAGAGTACCAGTCTTCTTACCACGAGCAATGACGAGTGCTCCTTTGGTAATCTTCCATTCACAGCTTGAAAAAGTTGTGCTATATCCTTCTCCATCAAGCTGTCCAACAGAAATCAGATTTCTTTTGAGGCCAGGAATATGTCTCACTCCTGTCAGCTTCCAGGTGGTCTGGTTTGGCAACTTTAGTCGGATGTCTCCTTTTCCGACGATCTTTAAGGTTTCATCATCAGCAAGATGAACCTTCCCAAAATCACCACTAACATAGTTCTCCATGATTTCTTGGCATGGGGTGGAGTGGAAAGATGCCCCTGAATCCAAGATCCATGATTCAATCGGACTGTTGACGCTTAGAATCATGGCATCACCTGTCTCCTCTGTCACGTTGGCAGATTCCTGTGCACCGGTATCTTTCTTCAGTGCTCGGCAATCTCTTTTAAAGTGACCTTTCTTGCCACAATTATAACAGGTAAAATCTTTCTTTCCCGTTCTAGATTTTTCCCGTCTGGATTTTGATCTGCCACGATTTGAATATCTTTCTGAAGTTCTTCCTCTAGACTCCGTGTGCAAGGCTGAGGAGGTTGATGCTTCACCCGATTCTCTCCGTCGAATTTCTTCACTCAGTACCAGATCCCGAACATCGTCGAATTTTAATTTGCTGTTTCCCGACGAACTGCTGACTGCTGTAACAGTAGCATTCCAACTGTCTGGTAGAGATGATAAGAGAATTAAAGCTCGAACTTCATCATCGAACTCAATTTCCACTGAACTCAACTGGGTTGTGATTGTGTTGAGTTCATTTAGGTGTTGTGCCACCGATGCCCCTTCCGTCATCCGCAAATTGAATAATCGCCTCATCAAATGAACTTTGTTTGAGGCCGATGGTTTCTCATACATACTGGAGAGAGCCGCCATAAGACCCGCCGTGGTCTTTTCCTTTGCTATGTTGAAAGCAACATTTCGGGACAACGTCAGTCGGATGACTCCGAGGGCTTGTCGGTCGAGAAGAGCCCAGTCTTCATTCTTCATGCCCTCTGGTTGCTTTCCTGAGAGAGGTTGATAAAGATTTTTCTGGTACAGAAAATCTTCAATCTGCATCTTCCAAAAGCCAAAGTCCGCACCATCGAACTTTTCAATTTTCACCTTCCCTTCGTCTGCAGCCATCGCTTCCACTCGAATCTGGCTTCTTTTGGATCGTTTCTGACAATTCTTGCGAACCACCGTGTATTAGAACACCACCGTCGACAAACTCGTATCGCCGACCGAAATTTCACTATTCACGAAATTCACTATTCACGTGAATAGTAATGAATAGTAACCTCACAGAAAAATTGACAAAATTCACAACCAAAAGCTCTGATTACCAGTTGTTAGGAAAATAAACCGAGTACAAGTAATTTCCCTATAACCAGATTAGTGAGAATGCGAAATAAAAGCGGAAAAATAATACCCGAAAATTTGATAACGGAGTTCAGCCAATTGTGCTTACGTCTCCGGGCTGCTGCAGATCTTTTACTAAGAGAGAAAATTTACAGGTGTTTACAAAACACTCACTACTCACAAGAAAGCTCTCTAGTATAGGAAGAAAGAAATGTTTTGGGATGATTTTGAAGCTAAATGGGTAAGGGTATTTATAGTAGAAACTTAGGGACTAATCTTTGAAAATACCCTAAAGTGCAATGACTAAAGTGAATTTACCCATTCCTATTTTCAACAAACATCTACCAAAATTTTACCAAACTTTGAAAAACATTTTTCAAAGAAACATTTACCAAACTTTGAAAAAAACATTTTCCAAAGTTGGTTGCCAAACTTTGAAACTTTTAACACATATGTGCTTAACTGTTAACATATCACATGTTATGTTATTAGTTTAGATGATGTGTCACATAACACATCATCATTTTGATCGATATGACACGTAACACGTCAATATATGCTGATTATTGGTCAATTAACGATTTTCATTCAATGAGTTTTGATTTAAAATGTTTTAAGTTAAATATGAATCTGAATGATCATTTGAACAAACATGAAGGGTTAATTTTAACGTTGTGGCTTAAGAATATATGATCATGTTTGTTGTCTTTGATTGACGTTTTTGATGTTGGTTGGCCTTTTTTAGGTGCAAAGAAGTGTTGAAGATCCGTCGTTCTTGGTGGCTACTTACGAAGGAGTGCACAACCATGCACAGCCTTCTGCCGGTACAACAAATGGAGCTCTCCCCGGAACTCTTGGCTTGACGCAATCGGATGGACATGGCGGTGGTGCCAGAAAGCTAGCCGGAGAAACCAATGCACCTACGATACAACAGATTCTGGTCCAACAGATGGCGGCTTCTTTGACGAGAAACCCGAATTTCACAGCGGCACTTGCGGCGGCCATTTCGGGGAGAGCTGCAGACCAGAACGGGATAAAAAAGTGTTGAAATGGTAATCGTAATGCGAAGTTACGATCATCGTTCTATAGCAACAATCTGGGACAGACGTAGGATTTTATGTTATATATGGGGACAAACTTGAAATTTTAAAATTCTACGAGAGTAAACTTGAACTTATAAAATTTTAGGGAACAAAATTAGATTTTCAATAAAAAATGTGAAATATAAGATAATTTTAAATTTTCAATAAAAAATGTGAAATATAAGATAATTTTAAATTTTCAGGAGGACGACTACCTCACTCGTCCCCTCGATCGATCCTCGACTTCAACTCTCTTTGCCTAGGCTGCAATTTAAATCATGATTTTTTGTAAAATGAGAGTGTCAAATGATGTAAATAGATTAGTGGATTTTAATGTAGGAATTGGGGAAGAAGAATAAAGTACTTGATTCCCAAAGTAATTCTTGAGGACAACAGTAATAAAATTTATAATTAAGAGTCCCTAATTTTTTTTTGAATTTTATAAAATAGTCCATATTTTCTACCTTTATAACCGAGGGCTCATAATTTAATTATTTTTCATAGTTTATTAATATAATGTTAAATTAATTGTTTAAAAATAATAAAATATATTTTCATTCCATATGACTTATTTTTAATTTTCCGCTTAAGATCTCAGAAATATTCGAGACAGCTCTGTCCGTCGGTGTATGGTATCACTCAAACTTAGTCAAATATGGACCACTGTCCTTATAAAATTATGATTCAAGTCATCGAAGTTGCATAATTTCGTGTATGGATTTGGATTCTACCTCTATTTTAAGTGCTTGACCAAGAACTACCATTGACTCATATAAATAATTTTTATAATAAAAAATTATGATCCAAAATAAAATTTAATTCGATTTCAAGAATTATTCAAAAAATTTGAATTTCAAGATAATCGGGTTAAATTATTTAATTTATTTCTAAGGAGATTAAATTTATTGAGTAATTGTTTTATTTTAATCGATGACTTAGATTCGAATAACATTACCTATCGTTATATTTTGTAATTTTTATAGCTTAAGAATAGTCGCTCTCTCCTTTGTCTTTCTTTCTTTTTCTTCTTCCTCTTTGAGTTTGTATTGTTTTTCATAGATCAGATCAATTTTTTCTTCTTTGATTTTCTTTAGCCGACGGTAACACCGGCTTTGATGCTGGTTGCCGACCGCCGGTTCTCTTTTCTCTTTGTTTTTTTAATAAGAATAATTCTACCCGTGTCTCACGTATATATCTGCCTTTTATCTTTACCTTTTTGACACGTTTTTCGATTTTTTTCTCAGTCGTTTGTCTGTTCTTTTATTTATTTTTTCTCAGGGTTGGATTTGACGATGCCATGACTGATCAAGATAGCGTTTTTTTCAAAAACTTGTTGATCTTCCCTGCCATGGACATTTTGATTTGGATGCATGATTTTACGTTTGTGGATAGTTTCTCACGAAGTTCGGCTCTGATCTGCAGTTCTCAATAGTATTTCAATAGCTTAATTCTCTTTTGTGGTTTGTTTGTCAGTGCAATAAGATTTACAGTTGTTAGTTTTAATGTTATTGGAAAAATCCAAATTATGTATTTAATTTACAATGATAATTGTAAACTTTTATTGTAATTTCATATATTTTTACTTTTTTTTTAATAATACTAGCGGCTTATATTTAAAAATATATTATAGCTTAAGATTAATTAAGAGTCTTATTTATTTGAAAGAATTATTGTGTAATGCTAGACAATAGTATCATAATTTGTAGACTGATTTAGTCCAGAAATTCAATTTGTTCAAGAGAATTAGTCAGAATTGAAATTGGGTTAATTGGCATCCGGTCCTAGTAGAAGGGTAAATTATAAATTTGGTAGCTAAACTTTACTCTCTCTCCTATTTCACTTATTGTACTTTAAATCTTTTAGATTTCATTACTAGATTTGATGCATTAGTTTTTTTGACCACTCTATCGTTAAATAATTAACGGCATTAAAATGAGTTATTATATAAATGCAAAACAACGTCGTTTTAGTAAAAATATTATTTCTTTTAAAACGGCATTTTTATTAACGCCATTAATTACTTAACGATAAAGTGACCAAAATAAGAGAGAGAATAAAGTTTAGTGACAAAAAAATTTAATGTTTTAAGAAGTTCAATGAAGAAATTGAAAACTTTTAAAGCTAAGTGAACAAAATAAGAGCGGGAGAGTAAAGTTCAGTGATGAAATTTATAATTTACTCCCCATAAGAAATATAATTTGTACTTTTTTTGAACATAAAAAAAGTTAAATTTTGTTAATTCGAAATTACTTTAAGGAAACAATATCCAGTTTATTTTTGGTCCGATCATCTTTACCTTATTTCTAAGTTGCCTTTTATAAATAATATTCATACCACTTTTATAAAAAAAACGCAACCGACAATATTATAAAAAAATATAACACTTTTATACCATTTTTAACTGAATTTAAGACTAAAGAAAGATGCGGTCAAAAATATTATAAAAAATATAATATTTTCTGTTGGGTACAATTGAAAATATCAATTTTTTTCTTAATATTTTCGGTTGCAAACCTTCTTCACAAACATTTTCGATTTACAACTGAAAATGTTAAATTCTTCGTAACACTTTTGGTTCAATCGAAAATGTTAAAATCTTAACGTTTTAAATTGCACTCAGTCGAAGATATTATATTTTTATAATATTTTCGATCACGCATTTCCTTAATCATAAATTAAACCGGAGAAGTACACATGTAACTAGTTTTAAAACGTTTGATGTAAATTTTTAGTATGCTTCACGTTGTTTCTTGATTAGAGCCGTTCACATTGTGGGCTTGTATTATCTCTTGCTTATGTAAGCACTGTGACATTCTTATTATTCGTCACGTTGATGTAATTGTGATTGCTCTATTTCAGTTTTTTTTTTCTCGAGAAACAAACACCGTCAAAGACCCAAGTCCACGAATTTGTCGACATCCACTAACGCGTGGGGACACACCACTGTAAACCAAGATCGTGACAGTACAAGAATGGTAAACCCAAAGTTGTCATGCAGATGACGATTCCCATTGTGCGTGAAACTCGCTTCCTACCGAGAATATATTAAATTCTCGTGACCATGATGATTCGGCTTTGATTTCAACAATCTCCTGCCTGCTACTTTCATGGATGCCGAGAACCCTAAACAAAAGGTATCATCATCATCTTCCTGCTCTTCTAGTTGTTCCAAAAAACAAGAAATTTGAGACATTAAAAGATGAAAATTTTCAGGTGGAAACTCTTCGGGAGGAGTTGGAGAAGTTGCAGAAAGAGAACGAAGCTCTTAGGTTCACGTTTGAAGTAATGAGCAGCAAGTACTGCATGCTTCATGAAGCCTATGTCAGGGAATCGAGCTCGCCGTTACCGGCGGTTCGGTTTGCGGCGGCGAGCTCCTCGCGAGTTTTTGTGGAAACAGATCCTAGGGACGAAAGCCTGGTGAGCCACCCTACTCTATTTGCCCAAGATAGATTAAATTTTCTTCATGCAATAAGTGTTGCATGTGATGGTGAATTTAGGTGGTTAAAGATGGATATCAATGGAGGAAATATGGACAGAAAGTCACTAAAAATAATCCATCTCCCCGAGCTTATTTCAAGTGTTCGATGGCTCCTGGATGCCCCGTCAAGAAGAAGGTATTCTCACAGGCACATGGTAGTATTATTACAGACATTAAAACCTCTTTTGTCTTTGTTTTACTTTGTCCAGGTTCAACGATGCCTGGGAGACGAAGCTTTTCTTATAGCAACGTACGAAGGGCAACACAACCATGATGTTGATCCTACAACGGGACAATCTTTGTCTTCTCCCGGCAGCTCCGCAGTAATCTCCGGTAAGACACCGGCACGGGAGTATCGTGTTCCGGCTGTCAATAACCTGTTTCGACCTGGCATCACTCCCGATCTCAATCTTTCGGGCTCCGACCATGGAAACAACAACGACGACGAAAGAATCGAAGACTATGTTGCATCCTTAACAAAAGACCCTAATTTCACCGTAGCTTTAGCGGCGGCTGTTGCTCGCTCCGTCGCCGAGCAGCTTAAACCACCGACTCCATAAACTCCGATGGAAGTTGAAGTTTCTTTAAGTTATTACGTTAAGGTTTTTTCTGACTCTAAATTCAAATTTAAGTTTCTAAATGCCATCTGTATTTTGGGTAAACATTCAGTGCCTAAACTATTGGTTTTGGTCTGTTTTCGTATAAAAACTTTTAATTTTTTTAAAATCACACCTAACATATATTTTTCATTTTATTTTAATATTCCGCTATTAAAAACTTAACATGTTTAGTACATAAACTATCAGTTTTTGTATGTTTTAGTTCATAAACTTTCAATTTTTTTGTACTAAACGCGTAATTTATCCTATTTTTTGTTGAAGATAATGGCTATAACTCATTGAGTTCATAATAGGGGTGTTTATCGAGCGAGTAGATCACTAGTTGGGCAGTGCTCTACTCGTGCTCATTAAAAAAAATTTGATGCTAGACCTCGACTTGTGCTCGTTAAAAAAATTATTACTCAACTCGACTCATTGTTCGTTAAACTCGTTGCTCAACTCATTGATGATTAAACTCACTAGAAATTTTTCCTTGTTCTTTTAATTAAAAGTAAAATTTAATAATATTGTATGAAACTTAATATAAACATAAATTAACAAATTCAATAAAAAATTATCAAAAGAGTATATACAATAATTTCAAAGTCTAGATTATAAATTAGTAATTACTATTATTTAGACATATTTTTTGAATGAAATAATTTCAAGCTAACTACTAAAAAAAGTTTAAAAATTAACGAGTTGTTCGTAAACTTATAAAGTTAAGTTAGACTTTGCTCGACTCAACTCGTTAATGTCTCGAGTCGAGTTAACCCGAGTCGAGCGTTGACAGAATTTTTGACCTAATCGAGTTCGAGCAGCTCACGAGCTGATCAATTCATTAAGCACCCCCTTGAACTCTAAGATACGGTGGAAAATGCCACCAATCTCCGCCACCGGAGCCGCCCCTCAAAGCAGCAAACGCCTCACTGTACGTACTCACCACTCAAAAGCCAAAGTGTTCAACTTCAACCCCAGGATTCGTCACCGTATAAACCAAAACAATAAACAAAGACGCATAAACGTTGCTTCCTAAAGGCCGTATCAGCAATGGAAGTGATCGTAAAGTGCATGCATGAAAGTGGGAGGAAGCTTCCTTGTACAAAAAACATATGAAAAGTGAAGCTATTAAATAAGAGTTGGATATTAGTTTTCATGAAAACCCCATTGTTCTATCTCTTCATCTTCTTCATTTCCCAGATCTCCGAAACTCGCATATATGGATAAGAAAATGGTTGAGGTCAAAGCGCCGGCAATGGAGTCGAAGAAGAAGAGAAGAGGAAGAATCAAGCGAAAGATTTTTGCCCTTCTGTTTAAAAAACTGAAGCTGGCAACCCTTTTTCTCATTAATCATCATCTTCTTATTAACACCACCAACAACAACAGCATCATGAGTTAGGCATTTCTTCCCATTATATATATATTGTATGTGCAGTTGGGTACAAGGTAGTGAAGCTAATGATCAATGGCCAATAAAGTTGTACAATTCATATGGTACATATTGGAATTTATCCCAATAATTAAAGGGTTAAAGGAGGAAAGAGAGAGATCGAATCCTTCCTCGTGTTGGTGTGTGTTGGATATATTTATCTTTCTAATTATCTGAATTTATAAATTTGTTTAAAAACTTGAATATATTTTTATTTGTAAATTATACTTTTATTATATGAACTCAAAATTTAATTATGTTACACGAATCAAGCGATCTCGGTGGTGAAGGAATTGTAGTTAGTCCTTGAGGTCCTAGGTTTGAGCACAAAAAATATAAGGAGTATGAGCATTCAATGTCAAATGGTTGAACGTTTATTTTTTTACGTACACTGTGTTGACCTTACCTAGATTAATAAAAAAAATGTGTACTAAATCCACAAAAATTTGAATTAAAATCCATTAAAAATATAATTATAAGATATTTACTAGAATTCATCAAGCGATCTCAATAATTAAATGGAGTATTACTCTCTTTTAAAGATCTCGAGTTTGAACAAAAATGTCTACAAAATATACCAAAAGATCTAGGGGTCCCTTTAACCTCTAGAATGATTAATAACACAAATTGTAATGCTTTGGTGGAGAAAGGATTACGTGCAAAATCAAGGGCTGGGCGACTTGTGGGTTATCTTATGTTAATCGTTCGTAACTTATTAAATCAGTCATTTTGGGATTGCAAACTTTTTAGAGCCGAGTCTTCTTCTTGACAGCGAGGGTGCTGAAAAAGATTTGGGCAGTTGTGTGGTTCTTTCCTTTGGAAAGGTAAGGATGGTGACTCGAGGGGAGTTCAGGTTAGTTGGGAGCTTGTTTGTTGTCTGGAGGATGAGGAGGGATTAGGGATCAAAGAGTTGTTATCTTGGAATAAAGCTAGTATGATGCGTAATCTCTGAAAACTTTTGATTTTGGGCGAACTGTTTATGTGTGGCTTCGGTAAAAGCTTATACATTGAAGGCTGTGTGTGGGTTTGGCAAATTCAGCCTTTTTAAGGTAAGGTTGGGCTTGAAAGAAACTACTTAGGGGATGTTTGGTTAAAGGATTGTGGGAATTCCATGTTTGATTGGCCGGGAATCTCATTCCCGATAATGTTTCTCGGTAATGTTTTATTACCAATAGTAGATTTTTTGGGGTATATTAACGGGAATGTCATTACCTCCCTTCCCTTAGGTATTGTAACATTACCGGCGTTTTGGACTAAAATACCCTTAAATTTTTATTTTTTTCAAAAATATCATTCTTTTGTCATTGAATAATAAAAATTCTACGAAGGTTAAGTTACACATTTATCCTTAAATTATTTTAGATTTACAAAAAAAAATCTAATTAAAATTTTATATGAAGTTCAGAGGTTAAAATTTTTTTTTACCCTTTCATTAAACCTTTTTTATATTTTTAATTTTGTAAAAAAAAATTATATAAATATTATGAATTTAATTTTTTAAAGAAAATATATAAATATTTTACAATTTGTAATATTATACAAATATATAATAAGGACAATTTGGTCAAATATACATTCTAATAATCTTTTATTCCTTTAACCAAACACGGTAATCTTACATTTTTACTAAACCAACCAAACACAAAATACAACATTCCTAGTAATCATATTTCCCTGGTAATCTTTTATTCTCACTGATAATCTTACATTTCGTGAACCAAACGCACCCTTAAGCTAAGGGATATGTTGCTGAATATTAAGGATCTTATAGAGCCTTATTAGGCGAAGGATACGTGGGAATTGCTAAGGAGTAAGCACGATAAAGTAGGATGGTATAAGGTAGGGGTGTACATTTGATCGAGTTGAGTCAAGTAAAAAAAATCGAGTTATTCGAGTTGACGAGTCTTATTTTATAACTCCAATTTGATTTGAAATTTTTTCGAGTCGAGTCGGGTCGAGTCAAATTTTCGAGTTTCTATTTAAATTTAATTATAAATATTTATAATATTATGAAATTATTTAATTCTAATTTAAATTATATTTTATAATCATATATAATACATATATATCTTTTTTGTATTTTTTCATATGTGATTTACATATACTATATAAAGTCGAGGGACTCAACTTAAACTTCGACTTAAACTTGAAAATCAATATACTAATTACTAAAAATTTCAAGTTATTCGAGTTATATTTTACAACTCGATTTGAATTTGATTTGTTTCTAGTCGAGTCGAATTTATGAAACTATAATCGAGTAAAAAAAATCGATTTTTCGAATCGAGTTTTGTTCACCCTATTACAAGGTGATGTAGGGTAGTGGAACTATCTCTCAGTCATGGATTCATCTCTTTATTGGTTATGACTGCCTACTAAAGTGAAGAATATATCTTGGGGGCTCCAAGCTCGCCCCATATGTGTTTTTTTTTGTGTGAGGAGGACATGGATGAGGATCGTGATCATTTATCTTTGTTTGTGATTTTGTGAAGCGGGTCTGGGGCTTGGTGATGCAGGCTGGTGGGTGGAATATACAGGTCACGTCGTGAATCGAGATGGTATAGTGGCTTTAAAGCAATAGAGGTGGTAAGGATTTACAACATGTTGCTATTAGAATTGCTTGGACAGCTCTTGTGGCAAGAAAGAAATGGTAGGTTGCATGGGAAGAAGCCTAGAAATGTTCAAGTTGTTTTTGATTTGATTAAATGTATTGTTGGGGTGTGGGGATTATTTTTATGCTTCCATGATTTTGGTTAGGAGGTGGGGCTTGGTGTGAGCGGTAGGTTTTGGTTTGTTAACTATTTTCTCGATGAATAAAATATTATTTATTTAAAGTAAATGCTAAACAAATTTTACCTTATAATAAAAAAATAATTACTAAATTTTCAATTCATTTACATTACAGTCATTATCATCAAACCATTTTAAAATTGATACTACTCATTAATTTCCTTTTTAGGAAAAAAATAATAAAATTTGCACTTTAATTCATTTTATCGTCACCAAAGCAAAGCCTAAAGGACACATGCGTTTATTCACTTCACTTAAAACCGTACACTACAACAAGCACACTCCCCTTAAAATTTTCAAGCTCGACTCGAACTCGAAATCCTGAACTAAAGCTCGTGAGTAGCTCGAAAAGGCTCGAAATGAAAAAAAAAATTCTTAAACTTAACTCGATTGAAGCCTCAAACTCAAACTCGAACATGAACCTTAAATACATAAAATCTTACTGTATTTTTAAAAAAAATCAATACATAAATATTAATATTATTATTAATTTATTTTTTAAAATAAAATCTTAATATATTATATTTTCGAGCTGTTCACGAGCTTTTCGAGTCAAAAATCGAGTAGCTCATTTCAGTTCGTTAAGAACTCGAGTCGAGTCCATTCGATTCGAGTATTTATCGAGCCTTGATCGAATCGATCTCGAATAACTCACGATCTGTCTGGTCTCATTTACAGCCCTACTCCCCCACCCCTATTTATTTGTATTTTTATAATAAAACCCCCGAGTTTGGACAACGAA